CGCGCGGCCTCGGCCGTACTTCGTTCCGCTCCTGCAGCAGGTTCTTGGTCTTTCTCCTCCAGTAGAGGGTCCACCGCCTGTCCAGTCGCAGTCCCTGCTGGAGCCTTCCTCTCCACTGCCTGCTCCCTCTCCTTACACTGGTCCTACTGGAGGTCTTGCTGAGCGTCGTGAGCCTGCGTCTCGTCCCGCGTCACCTGTTCACACTGCTCGCGCTAGTGGTCGCAGTTCGCGTCAGCGTCCTCCTCCTGTCCCTGGCACGCACCGGATGTCTTTGCGTCCGTCCACTGCTCCTCTGCGTGCCCCTTTGCCTTCTCCTCCTGAGTCCTCTCTTCCTGCGCTTGCCGACCCTGAGTCGGACTCTCTTCGTGCTGCCAGTCCTACTGTCACGCGTCTGCTTGCTACTGTCGTCACTGACCCCTCTTTTGAGTCCACTGCTGCGTCTGCTCTAGTCGCTGAGCTCGTCGACTTTGCTGCTCGCTGTCGTCTCGACTACGCTGCTAGTCTTGTTGCTGAGTCTGCTTCTGTCTGTCCTCCGTCCGTCGGGGGTGAGTGTGCTCTTGGCACGGACGTCCTAGAGGACAGGCAGGAGGAGTTACAGTGTCTAGTGGCTGCTTCACCTCATCTCGCGTCTGTACTGCTTGCCCCTGAGGGAGACCCGGATGCACTAGACATCCCGACTCCGCGTTCTTACGCAAAGGCCGTAGAGGGTCCCTACTCCTCTCAGTGGCAGGCAGCTATGGATGCAGAGATGGCTTCCTGGAAGTCCACAGGCACCTACGTTGACGCGGTTCCCCCTCCTGGGGCGAACATCGTCAGTGGCATGTGGATCTTCAGGGTGAAGCGGCCGCCGGGCTCTCCACCTGTCTTCAAGGCACGGTACGTTGCTCGTGGCTTCAGTCAGCGGCAGGGAGTTGACTACTTTCAGACCTTCTCTCCCACCCCGAAGATGACTACTCTTCGGGTGCTGCTGCACATAGCCGCTCAGCGCGACTACGAGCTTCACTCTCTCGACTTCAGCACTGCGTTCTTGCAGGGTAGCCTGCACGAGGAGATCTGGCTTCGCCGTCCACCTGGCTTCACTGGGACTTTCCCTCCTGGCACCAAGTGGAGCCTCCGACGGCCAGTCTACGGTCTCCGCCAGGCACCGCGTGAGTGGCACGACACACTGAGGACTACGCTTGCGGCTCTTGGGTTTGCTCCTTCTACTGCTGACCCGTCGCTGTTTCTTCGCACCGACACTTCCCTGCCGCCGTTCTACATCCTCGTGTACGTCGACGACTTGGTCTTTGCCACAGCAGACACTGCTGGACTCGCCTACGTGAAGTCCGAACTGCTGAAGAGACACACGTGCACAGACCTGGGTGAACTGCGCAGCTACCTTGGCTTGCAGATCACTCGGGACAGAGCACGCCGCACCATTACCTTGACTCAGTCACACATGGTGCAGCAGGTCCTTCAGCGCTTCGGCTTCACGTACTCCTCGCCTCAGGCCACTCCTCTGCCTACTCGCCACTCACTCTCAGCTCTGCCTTCGGATGAGTCCGTAGAGTCAAGTGGTCCGTATGCAGAGCTTGTTGGCTGCCTCATGTACCTGATGACCTGCACACGACCTGACCTTGCATACCCTCTGAGCATTCTTGCTCGCTATGTTGCTCCTGGGAGACACAGACCGGAGCACATGGCTGCAGCGAAGAGGGTATTGCGCTACCTGTGCAGCACGTCGGGCATGGGGCTAGTGCTTGGAGGGCGGAGTCCAGTGGTCCTTACCGGCCACGCGGACGCTTCTTGGGCTGACGACCAGGCTACGCAGCGGTCGTCACAGGGTTACACCTTCAGCCTTGGTTCCGGCTCTGTCTCGTGGCGGTCTACTCGCTCGTCTTCGGTTCTCGGCTCCAGCTGTGAGGCTGAGATCTACGCCGGGGCCATGGCTGCACAGGAGCTTCGCTGGCTCACCTACCTGCTGACTGACCTTGGAGAGCGGCCTCGTTCTCCTCCAGTGTTGTACGTAGACAACAAGGCCATGCTGGCCTTGTGTCGAGAGCAGCGCTTGGAGCACAGAACGAAGCACATTGCTCTCCGCTACTTCCTTGCTCGTGAGCTGCAGCAGCGTGGTCAGTTGCGACTTGCGTACGTGGCCTCTGAGGCCAACACTGCTGATGTGTTCACCAAGGCACTCACGCCTTGTGACCATCAGCGCTTTTGCACCCAGCTGGGTCTTGTGCCTGTCTTGCCTCACTTGCTCTCCTCTTGACTTCACTTGTACTGTGACATATATATATACCTGCTCTTGCTTGTCTAGTTTTATATATATGTCTGTACTCCTGCATGTGAACTGGCCTCTGGCCCTGCTCTTGTGCTCGGACTGTGTGGTGACGTTGTGATCCACCCTGAGCTTGCTTTGCTTTGCTTTGCTTGACTGGTCTTGTGACCCCTTGTTCTCCCCCACTTTGCCTATGGGGGTGTGTCGGATTATTATAACTGATGCATGTTTGTAGGCTATAGTGGGGTAGCACATATGGGGTACATCTTTCTAGGGTTGTATTTGTACCCAACTTTGACTTAGTCATTTCATTCCTGTTTTCCTTGCTTCACAGAAAAGGAGGATGTGATTTTGGGAGGAGCGCATCTCGCGAACGTGGTGCGTTTACCGAAGGAGGCTCAGACAGATGGACGTGAGAAGAGGGCGTGGTTCATGGACAGCGGTTGCACGCGTCACATGACATTCAGGTCAGATTGGATGGAGAATGTGAGGGAGTCGAGTGAGGATTATATACTACAAGGTAACAGTGGGAAGTTACCAGTGACAGGAGAGGGTGATGCGGTGTTGCAGAGTCCGTATGGAGAGATGAGACTGGAGAGTGTGCTGCTGGTTGAGGATTTAAAGGTGAACCTGGTCAGTCAGTCAAAGCTTGATGACATGGGGTGCAAGATATTTTATGACAGAGGCGAGGTTACAGTGTTTGGTCCTGAGTGGGAGAAGTATGCGGATGGTTATTTCAGTGACGGTTTCTATGAGATGAACTTGGTCGCGATGAACGATAAGGATGAGATATATGAGGATCCTGAGTCTACTGAGGATGATGAGAGTGAGGACTCGGATGATATGGCTGCGAGTGTGGAGGCAGCAGTGAAGCAGGAAGAGGAGATAGTGATCATGGAGGCAGCAGTAGTAAACGGTGGAGATGGAGACGATGTCAACACTTTTGCAGCAGCGATCGTGGTTGAAGATGAAGCAGTAAATGCGAAGTGTGTGGGAGTTGAAGCTGTGAAAGGGGACATCATGGTGAAAGGATCAAAGGCGAATGCAACTGCAAAGGGGCAAGTGCTTAAGGAGGATGAACACGTTGAAGGGTACGAGACCCGAGAGGTGTTGGGTGTAAAGATGCCGAGGAGAAGCGAGAGGCATAAGAAAATCTCTCAAGGTTTGGATGTCAAGGCGCTCAACTTCAAGACACGTAAGCAGAGGTTCAAGGTGCAGGAGCTGCAGGGGAGCGTGAAGCCGACCTAGACCCTGTGAAGGCTACAAGGAGCAGGGGAGGAGTGCGAGTGGCGTTTGTGGTTGACGAACCACATGGGAGATTGTTAGGGTTGGTTCGCCCAACCACGGAACCTATGGCGAAAGTCTCTACGACGGCGGAATGACGGTGAAATGGAAGCGCGTGGATGATTCTAGGTGAAACGGTGGAAATCGGCCTACGGCGTGAGAAGGGAGAGAGAAATCGAGAAGGAATGTGTGAGAAGGTGGAAGAAGCATCGAGATTGAAGTTGGCGAGGGGAAATTGTGGTTCGAGCTTGAGGCGTGTTCGAGAAGGTTCCAGATTCGGTCTTGAGGAGTGTTCACCGAATTCGGTTCGGTTGCGTGTGCGACTCGGGGTGAAACGAGGCGCACGCGGTTACTTGGGAAACAAGTGAATTTACGAATCGTATTTTGTGTCTTGCCTGACTATAAAACTGTTTGCACTCATTCTGAAAATACAACATTGGACAACATTGAGATTTTGAAAATTGCTGAAGTGTGTATTGACAACTTCAAGCAGAGCTGCGCATATCATTGGATTCGGGAGATCGTGGAGAACACGATAGGCGATAGCAAGTAGACTATTGCCGACTAAGGTGCTTACGATCCTAAGAGTCTGGCTCAAACCTGACCCGGAACTAGGGATTGCTGAAGTTTCGGGAAAGTCAGCGTTATGATAATCATGGCGTAACGAATAGTGTACAGTATCTTTGAGAAGGACTAAGCGTGATCGCTTTCAAGTGTTCTCTTCATTCTCGTCAGCCCTGCCTGTAATGACCCCACTCTGGGGAACCGTCCTGCCTCTGCCTGACCCCCCTGCTCCGTCTTCCCTCCGTTTCCCCCTTCACCCTTTCTCCCACCTCTACCCAACCCTCTTTCCCATCGCCCTGCCAGCCGTTGTCACCACAGGAAGAAGCCGCTGTTATGGGCCATGGGTATCCCAGCCTCTCCGCGCCACCATCCCCATCATCGTCACCATCAGCATCGCTGCACCAGGCAGGAATGATTGCCACCAGAAGCTGCTCGCCTCTCATCCCATCCTCCTCCCTTTTCCCTAGCCATGGATTTGCCACGTCAGCCATAGCGGCTGAAGCCACGTCACCCTCATCAACATCAGCCGCATTCGCAGGAGCATCCACCTCAGCATCAGCAAGATCAGCACCATCAGCACCGTCTGCAGCTGCAGGGGCAGGAGGAGTAGGAATGGGAGCAATGTCAACAGGGAGGGTCGGAGATGGAGCAACAGGGGAACAGGGGGTGGGAAATGGGAGGATCGGAGTGAAGACAAAAGCGCTGACGAAGCAAGCAAAGCACATCATGAATGTGAGTCCATGTGAGCACGCCCCATACAGCATGCACCGAAATTTCTGTGCGAAGGCCACAGATTCACTGCACCAGAAGTACAAGCTTCCAACCCTCCCTCCTCGTTCCTGAGTTGATGCAAAATGATATGGAAAAAACACAAAACTTGAGCCAACGAAGAATGCAACTTTCTCATCCTCCCTCCACCTCCCGCCTTTATCGTGTCTCCCTCCACCTCCCGCCTTTATCGTGTCTCCCTCCACCTCCCGCCTTTATCGTGTCTCCCTCCACCTCCCGCCTTTATCGTGTCTCCCTCCACCTCCCGCCTTTATCGTGTCTCCCTCCACCTCCCGCCTTTATCGTGTCTCCCTCCACCTCCCGCCTTTATCGTGTCTCCCTCCACCTCCCGCCTTTATCGTGTCTCCCTCCACCTCCCGCCTTTATCGTGTCTCCCTCCACCTCCCGCCTTTATCGTGTCTCCCCTCCATCTTCCATCTTCCCCCTCTCTCCGCTTCTGCCCCTTCCTCTTCCCTGTCCCCTCGAATTCTGGGATGCAGAGGTCACAAATGGACTGCACCCGGAGTACAGCATGCCTTCTGCCTTCTGTCCTCGCCCCACACTCCTCCGCCTTCTGTCCTCGTCCCACCTTTATCTTGTCTCCCTTTCCCACCCCCCTCTCGTTCCCCCGTTCCCACCTCACTTACCCTGCAGATTCTGGATGCAAAGGCCACGGCTTCACGGCGCCACGAGGGCATTGGCTCCTCGTGGTCCTCACCCCGCCGCCTCCAACGTCAACTCTCTTCCCTTCCCCCTCACATGCTGGATGCGCACAAAACTTCCCCCTCACATGCTGGATGCGCACAGAACTTCTCCCCTCATATGCTGGATGCGCACAGAACTTCCCCCTCACATGCTTGATGCGCACAGAACTTCCCCCTCACATGCTGGATGCGCACAGAACTTCCCCCCTTTCCCCCTCCCCTCCCCCCGCCCCCCATTCAAACCCTTTCCCCCCGTTCTTCTCAGATGCGGCATGTAGAGGCCACGCGGCATGCAGAGGCCACGCGGCATGCAGAGGCCACGCGGCATGCAGAGGCCACGCGGCATGCAGAGGCCACGCGGCATGCAGAGGCCACGCAGCATGCAGAGGCCACGCGGCATGCAGAGGCCACGCGGGTTCGCTGCGAGGAGAGGTCCACACCTCGCCTCGCTTCTCTCCCCCCCTCCCCGTCCTGCCCTTCTCTCTTCTCTCCTTCCCATCCCCCACCCCTCTTAGATTCTGGATGCAGATTCCACGGGTTCACTGTACCAGGGGCGCAACATGCCTCCGCTTCTCATATTCTCTCGCCTTCCCTTCCCGCTTTACCTTTCCCGCCTGCTCCTCCCCTCTCGGATCCTTGGTGCAGACGCCACGAGTTTTATGCCCCAGGAGCGCAACATGCATCCCCACCCTCTCCTTTCCGCCCTTAACTTGTCGCCCTTTCCCATCGCCCCTTCCCATCGCCCCGTCCCATCGCCCCGTCCCATCACCCCCTGCCCGTGCAGATCCTGGATGCGGAGGCAACAGGGGTGCTGCGCCAGGAGCGCAACATGCCGGACTTCAAGCCGGGGTACGTGCTCTCCATGAAGATTGTACGTGCTCTCCATGAAGATTGTACGTGCTCACTTGGGGGAGTTCATACGCCGATGGGGGCTTGTGTTGCGCCAATGGGGGCTTGTGTTACGCTGATGGGGGCTTGTGTTGCGCCAATGGTGGCTTGTGTTGCGCCAATGGGGGCTCGTGTTGCGCCAATGGGGGCTCGTGTTACTAGCCAATGTGTGCTTGTGTGCTAGTACCCATGAAGCGCCTCGAAAGGGCTTGTGTGCTAGTACTGATGTTGTCTGGCTTCTGTTCCACATTCCGTCGCCCTCACACTTGCCGCCATCCTCCTTCTCCCCCTCTCGCCCTCTCTCCCAGGAGGTGCCTGAGAACAAGCGGCGCACGTCGATAGTGAAGGGCATCGTGATCGCGCGCAGGAACGCCGGCATCGGCTCCACGTTCCGCATCCGGCGCATGCTGGCCGGCGTGGGCGTCGAGATGTCCTTCCCCCTGTGAGTCCCTCACTCTTTGTGCGTCGCTGCCCTGTGTCAGTTGAAGCAACTTGGCTGCGTGGCACCTCACTCCTAATGCCTGCCATGTGTCCTGAGTGCGTGCTGTCAGGCGTGGGCATCGACTCGTTCTTCCGTCTGTGAGTCTCCTTTTGTCCGAGTGTCAGTGTGCCTTGCGTCACTTAAATTAGGCACCGCTAGTGCCAGATGCTATCATGCTCTGTTTGGTGGCATCAACTTCACATTCCGCATGCATTGCATGCTGGTGGGCATGGGCGTTGACACCCTCTGTGAGTCTCGTTTCGTCGGAGTGTCAATGTGCCGTGTGTGTTCCCTAAGGTGCGCATGCCTGTGGTTGCCAACCAGCTAAGCACTTTCTGCGATTTGCTGTACGAGCATTGCATGATGGAAAGGAAACGGAATGACATTGCTGATGGCCAACAGATGCACGCAAGATTTTGTATAGGTCTAATTCCAGCAATGACCTCTCGTCTCTCTCCGCGCAGGTACTCGCCCATCATCAAGGAGATCACAGTGATAGGCACGCGCAAAGTCATGAGGGCCAAGTTGTACTATTTGAGGGACAATGTTGCCCGTATGTCCGCTGTTTAGGGATGCAGCCGCAAGTTGTGCAAATAAGAAAATATTTTAGGAATCCCAAGATGCTTGTCAGGCTATGAAATGTGCTGAAGCTTCAGCATTTGGCAAAGAATTTTCTAAGTTACATTATCACCTCATGTTAGTCTTTTTAAGCGTGTACTTTGTACTGCCTGTCAATGGCATATTATCGGATCAGCATTTGGCAAAGACATTTCTGGCTCAACAGATCGCATCCTCCCTGTGAGCTTGTCACACGCTCGCCACGCAAGCCACTTCCAGACTCCATTCGTCATCTAGGCTCTGTTCGGTAGCCACCCCAGTCACATTGTGGTTGGTGCAGGTGATCTTCCGCGGCCCAATTTCAAACAACCTTAAATCCTACCAAATCGTTATTAAAACACCAAACCTGACCAGTGCGGTTTGGCTACCAAACGCGCCATACACCCAACCGAGTGCAGGGGAAGACACTACCTCGAAATTGGTGAGCCCAGGCAAACGAGAGAATTAATGTAGAGCCTGGTTTGGTGGTTCATTCTTACTCGCGTGGTCTTGAATTACTCGAGTGGCCACCAGATTTGGTGATAATTACTCGAGTGGCCACGCCAGGGGATTCCCGTTAGTTTTTTAACCCGGCGCATTATCCTACAAGGGTTTGTATCCCCGAAACTTCTGTATGATTCATGCGCGATCTTCAATATCCGAAATTTATGATCGTGACCCCTTATGACCACGCCTGATTGGACGCGCATTGCAAAACAAAGCAACGCGCATATAATCGACCAATCATGCGCGGTCATTAAATGTCCCGCGTATTGACGCCCGGGCATTGCAGTTTATGATCGCGGAAATATATGATCGGGCAATAATATATGATGTGCCCGACCATTAACGACCGCGCATGATTGGTGGACTATATGCGCGTTTAATCAGGCGCGGTCATATAGAGTCATGAACATAAATTTCGAATATATATCATCACGCGAAAGCATCCATTTTAAATCATCGCGTAAATTGAGAATCGCGGAATTATCAATACAGAGGTTTCGGGGATACGAGCCCTTGTAGGGTAATGCGCCAGGAAAAAGTCAGCGGGAATCCCCTGGCGTGGCCACTCGAGTAATTATCATCAAATCTGGTGGCCACTCGAGTAATTCGAGACCATGCGAGTAAGATTAAATCAGTAGTCCAGGCTCTACAGTAATTCTCTCTTAGGCAAACTCGACAGTCAGCAGGAGTCCATCCCATTTCAGCTTTCCAGTTCCACTCAGGCAGACCCGCTCTGACTGGCATGCTGGAGGGTATACGCTGTATTAGTGTCATTTCGGGCCGAATGAATATTTTTAGTCTGTTGAATTAAAAACGACGAGAGATCGTGCTCATACTCCGTATTTCTTTCATCCATAATGAGGGATCCCATTTGGCGGACTGATTTCTTATTTGTGGGTCGGGCAGCTGGCAAAATTCGGCCGGTTTTTTTTTTTACAAACGCGAGGTAAATTCTTGCAACTATGGACGCAACATCTGTCTAGTGCGAGTGGACGCCCGAGGCTACGAAACGTACCAGAGGCTTCCCCCCCATCAAGTGGGTCCAGTGTGACTGGGAGGCTACCGAACAGGGCCCTAAAGTGTTCCAGGGTGACGATAGAACCAGCACTCGTTGACCGAGGAGCTCTTTGAGAGAATCCGATGGCTCTTAGTTCGACGTTTTCAGCTCCTTAGCTTCCAGCCCCACCGTTCTTGCTGCAGGTAGCCCACATTAGGTCGACATTTCCCAAACGCATAGGCCGGTAGATACTAGGGCAGCGGCGAACCACCGTAACAGTGGCAATGTCGGGCGAGAGCGAGATGGGGCTGATGGCGGCGGGGACGGGCAAGGGCGACGAGCGCAAGGAGGCGCAGCGGAAGAAGAATGTTCGCTTCTCGGGGAACGACGACGACGACGACGATGATGACGCCAAGTGCGCGCCTTCCCCCGTCCAGGTTCTTCGTCGCTCTCGTCCGTGCGACACCTCCGTTCGCCAGCGACGGATTCGCCGCACGCCCCTCGTTCTCCTCATGTCCTCAATTCCGTTCTCCGCGCCCAGCCTTTCTTCCCCTTCCCCTCTCCCGCTTCCCCCCATCCCCCGTTTCCCCCCCCGCGCGCGCGCAGGCCACGGCGCGCGGTGCTGCCGGAGAAGAAGCCGAAGAAGGCAAAAGGCGCGCCCGCCGCCGCCGCTGACGTCAGCGCGATGGATCTCGACGACCTCGGCGCGGAGCCCGGCGCGGCTGGCGGAGGCGCCGTGGGGGCGGCGGCGCTGATGGACTCCGCGGACCCGCGCGTGGCGGCGCTGGCGCGCGCGCAGCAGCGGAAGAAGGGGAAGAGCAAGTGGGGGGACACGGCTTTCGGGGGCGTGGAGGACGTGGTGCGCGCCGAGGAGGACTTCCAGGTGCGGGGGCGAGGGGAAGCGGGGGGAGGGGAAGGGGGGAGGGGAAACGGTGGAGGGGAAAAGGGGGGAAGGAGAGGGGAACAGGGATAGGGAGGGAGCAGGGGAGCAGAAAGAGAGGGCACGGGCAGAAGGAAGGGGTGGGGGGGGGGAAGGGAAGGTGGGTGAAGTGAGGGAGGGGATAGAAATGGGAGGAAAAGGGAAGGGAGCAGAGGGGACGTATGGAGGGAGAGCGTGGATGGATGTGGATGGGGGCGATTGGCCTGGTGAGAAAAGGTCGTGAGCGGGAAGCACAGGGGTGTTGAGTGCGGTGAGGCACATGGTAGGGCCGGTTGGGGTGGACGCGTGTTAGAAACGGTCCACTGGGCACGGCGTGTTAGAAACGGTCCACTGGGCACGGCGTGTTAGAAACGGTCCACTGGGCACGGCGTGTTAGAAACGGTCCACTGGGCACGGCGTGTTAGAAACGGTCCACTGGGCACGGCGTGTTAGAAACGGTCCACTGGGCACGGCGTGTTAGAAACGGTCCACTGGGCACGGCGTGTTAGAAACGGTCCACTGGGCACGGCGTGTTAGAAACGGTCCACTGGGCACGGCGTGTTAGAAACGGTCCACTGGGCACGGCGTGTTAGAAAACGGTCCACTGGGCACGGCGTGTTAGAAACGGTCCACTGGGCACGGCGTGTTAGAAACGGTCCACTGGGCACGGCGTGTTAGAAACGGTCCACTGGGCACGGCGTGTTAGAAACGGTCCACTGGGCACGGCGTGTTAGAAACGGTTCACTGGGCACGGCGTGCAGGCAGTGCTGGCGGTGGGAAGGGGGAGCATGGGGGGTGGGGAGGGGGGAGTGCCATGCTCCGAGCTGGTCGACCCTGACATGCATTCTTTCCTCTCCTCACATGCATTCTTTCCTCTCCTCACATGCATTCTTTCCTCTCCTCACATGCATTCTTTCCTCTCCTCACATGCATTCTTTCCTCTCCTCACATGCATTCTTTCCTCTCCTCACATGCATTCTTTCCTCTCCTCACATGCATTCTTTCCTCTCCTCTGCTCTGCCCTGCTCGCCATGCCCTGCTGTGCTGTGCCATGCCCTGCTGTGCTGTGCTGTGGTGAATGGTGTGAGTGAGAGGATGGGCGCATGGTGGGGCGGCATGGTGGCAGGGCGAGGAGGAGGAGGGGGAGGCGATGGAGCCGTTCAACCTGCAGCAGGAGCGCGAGGAGGGGTACTTCGATGCGGAGGGCAACTACGTGGAGTATAGGGAGGACACCGAGGCCACGGTGAGAGGCGAGGACACCGAGGCCACGGTGAGAGGAGAGGACACCGAGGCCACGGTGAGAGGAGAGGACACCGAGGCCACGGTGAGAGGCGAGGACACCGAGGCCACGGTGAGAGGCGAGGACACCGAGGCCACGGTGAGAGGCGAGGACACCGAGGCCACGGTGAGTGCAGGGCGGCCACGGTGAGAGCAGGGCGGCCACGGTGAGATGGGAGGGGGGTGTGGGTGGGTGCAGAGAAAAGCAGGGCGAAGGTAGTGAAGGCATGGTGAGGAAGAGATTTTGGTAGTACCGAGAGATGCGGTTGCGATGCTTTGACTTGCACTCACGCTATACCCCTTGCACTCACGCTATACCCCTTGCACTCACGCTATACCCCTTGCACCCACGCTATACCCCTTGCACCCACGCTATACCCCTTGCACCCACGCAGCGGAGCACACCCTGCCACTGCTATGCCTCCCCCTCCCCCTCCCGCTCCCCCTCCCTCTCCGTCTCCCCCCCCCACAGGACGCATGGCTGGCGACAGCGGAGGTGGACCCCACGCTGGCGGCCAAGGCAGCAGCGCGCGCCCAGGCAGCAGCGGCACTCCTCCATGTACTCATCTCCCCCTTTCCCCGTCTCCCCCCTTCCGCTCCTTCCTCTTCCCCCTGGCAGGACGCATGGCTGGCGACAGCGGAGGTGGACCCCACTCTAGCAGCCAAGGCAGCGGCGCGCGCCCAGGCAGCAGCGGCAGCGGAGGAGGCGTTAGGCAGCGACATGGGGCACGGGGAGATGGCGGCCATCCGACGGCGCATCGCTGATGCTCTCAGGCCGGGGGAGACGGTGAGTATGGAGGAGGCAGGGGGAGGCGGGAGTCAGGAGGTGGGGGTCAGCGGGATGGGGCACAGCAAGTTGGCAGCGATACGACGGCGCATTGCTGATGCTGTCAGGAGGGGAAGACCATGAGTTTGGAGAGGGGGGTGAGGGTGAAGGTGGGGGGGTTGGGAGGATGGTGAGAGTGGAAGACGAGTCATTAGAGGATGAGGGCAGCAAGGGTGGCACTGCCAGTCAAGTCAGCATGGGAGGGGGAAACTTCCGCCACACAGCACGTGAAAGATGCTCCGCCTGCCAACTCCTACCGCCTCCCACCGCCTCCCATCGCCTCCCATCGCCTCCCATCGCCTCCCTCGTCCTCCTGCACTCGTGCACCGTGTCTCTACTCTCCTTCCCCCCTCTAAATATTGTTACAAATTTTCCCCTTCTCCACCCGTGCTCTCAAAAACCACCTCCCCTCTTCCCCTCCCCCTCTTCCCCCCCCCCCCCCCCCTTCACTCTCCGCCCCACCCACGTGCAGGTCATTCAAGGGCTCAAGCGCCTGGGCCGGGGGAAGAAGGGCGCGGGGCAGGGGGGAGCAGGGGGGATGAAGGCGGGGAAAGGGGGGAAGAAGAGGGGTCGTCCGGGGGGTGAAGGGGAAGGGGAGGATGGCGGGGAGGGGAGGGGGAAAGGGGGGAGGCAGCAGAATAGACCACGGTGGATGGAGGAGGCGGGAGGGGGGGGAGGGGGAGGAGGGGGGCATGGATGAGGAGGCAAGGCAGCGGCTGTTTGAGCAGTTGACTGAAGACGCGATGCTGCTCATGGATGCTGGCGAGACAGGTACGGCGAGACAGGTACGGCGAGACAGGTACGGCGAGACAGGTACGGCGAGACAGGTACGGTGAGACAGGTACGGTGAGACAGGTACGGTGAGACAGGTACGGTGAGACAGGTACGGCGAGACAGGTACGGTGAGACAGGTATGGTGAGACAGGTATGGTGAGACAGGTATGGTGAGACAGGTACGGTGAGACAGGTACGGTGAGACAGTTACGGTGAGACAGGTACGGTGAGACTGGTATGGTGAGACAGGTATGGTGAGACAGGTATGGTGAGACAGGTACGGTGAGACAGTTACGGTGAGACAGGTACGGTGAGACTGGTATGGTGAGACAGGTATGGTGAGACAGGTATGGTGAGACAGGTACAGCGAGACAGGTATGGTGAGACAGGTACGGCGAGGTAGGTAGGGTGAGACAGAAACGGTGGAAGCAGGGGGCAGATAGTCTGTTGGGTTTTCAATATGTTGTGCACCACTTGTTTCTCCATAGAACGTCTATGCTTCTTCGCACCACTTGTTTCTCCATAGAATGTTTCACAAGGTAGAATGGCACCTGACATATACCACGTGCTCCATGCATGCATCCAGTGCCATAGCACGTCGTTGAAGGCTGCTGGAAGCACACAAGGGCAGCGAGAGCATGTTGCTCCTTCCCTCCCGTGTGACTTGTCGTTGCTGTTTCACGCCCATGATGCATGCTGCACGCAGAGCCACGTTGTGCTCCCCCTTTCCTTGACCCCATGCCACATGGCGTGGCCCAGACGTGTATTCAGTTCGGACAAGAAGAAGATGTTTGAGCGTGAGGCCCGGGGGTATGAGGCCATCCCGCGCGCCCATGGTGCATGCTGCACACCCACACGTGTGTTGCTTGCTTTGCTCCCCGTTCCTTCCCTCCACCCCATGCGGCATGGCACGGTGCGTGCAGAGGTGTACTCGGACAAGAAGGAGACGTTTGAGCGCGAGGCCGCGGGGTACGAGGCCATCCTCAGGGCTCGCCAGGGGCTGCTGGGGGGCAACGGGGGGGAGGGGGGTGTGGGAGAGGGGGGCAAGGGGGAGGGGGCCAAGGGGGAGAAGGGGGGTGCGGGTGGGGAGGAGGGAGGGAGTGGGAAGAAGAGAGGTGCGGGGATGGACATGTTTGGCGACGAGGATGATGAGGCAGGGGCTGGTGCAGGGGAAGGGGGGGCGAAGGAAGGTGAGAGGAAGGAGGTACAGGGAGGGGTAGAAGGGAAAGTAGGGGAGGAGAAGGATGGAGGGGAGGGGAAGGCAGGGGGTGAGGGGAGTGGAGCGCCGAGCAACAGCAGCGGCTACGAGTTTGACCCGTCCACTGGGTGAGTGCATGGCTGTTCCACCTGAACCTTGGCTTCGCGCCCACTGGCTTAGAGAAGGAGGTTCTTCTTCTCTCGTGTGCCCTCCTCAACCGCCCCATCCCCCTCCTTCCCTTCCACCCCACCTGTCCCACCTGTGCCCATCCCTCCCTCCCCGCTTCCCTCCGTGCCACTGTTGGCGAGTGCTATGACTCCTCCCTTCCTTCTCTAAGGCCATCGCACTTCACATGTCCATGCCTGCACTGTCTCTCCTCGTCCCCCCTCCTCTTCCCAACTCCCCTCCCCCCTCCTCCCCCTGCGACTACTTCACATGCGGTTTCATCTCACATGTGGTTTCATCTCACATGTGGTTTCATCTCACATGTGGTTTCATCTCACATGCGGTTTCATCTCACATGCCCGCCTCCCAAAATGCCGTGCATATTCAACCCCTCATTCCACTCCTTCCCCACCACCCAGCACCTTCCCCCTGTGGCGATTAAACGCCCCCCTTCCTGCTTCTGCTCGTGACTGCTGCCACACCTCTCCTTGTGGCACCGCACCTCACATGCCCCTCTTCCATTTCCTCCCTACTATACTGAAATCGCTTCTGAAGATTCCCAAGAGTGACTTCCCCCATCCTCTCCGGAACTCCCCCACCCTCCCAACCCCTTGGCAGCTACTACTTCAACAAGGAGCAGGGTTACTACTACGACTCCTCCTCTGGTCTATTCTGCAGTGCTGCAAATAGCACATGGTAGGGTTGAGTGCGGTACAGTGCGTGCGGTGACAGAATCTGGTGCGCAGTAGGGTTGGGTGCAGAGCAGTGTACAGCGGTGACAGACAGCCTGCTGTTGGCATGCTGATTAGGTTCTGAGAACAGCCACGGCAGAGTCTGGACTGCACTCACTGCAATGCCGACATGCCATGCCATGTGCTTGCCATGCTGTTCGCACATGAGCCCAAGCCCCGAAGGTGAAGACCCGCACACGCGTGTTGACACCCCTCTCCGCCCATGGGTCCCGCAGGTACCGCTTCAACGAGGCAACCGGCGAGTACGAGGCGCTGCCAGCTGATGCTGGGCACGGGGGTGCTTCAGGCAATGGCGGTGGCGCGGGTGGCAAGGAAGGGGGGGAGGAGGAAGAAGCTGTGGGCAAGGCTGGTGCTGGCAGCGCAGCAAAGGGGGCAGATGGGGATACGGTAGGTGGGGATGCAGCCGCTACAAAGACAGAGGGAGGGGCGTTAGCAGGTGAGGGGCGAGCAGATGAGGGTGGAGCAGACACAGTAAGAACAACGACGACTGTCGCTGAATAGGATAGGATGGAAGGCAGGTCATGCTGAGCTGAGAGTAGGTAGGTGCTCTGGGGGCGCCATATCATGCTGCGTGCAATCCAGGTGCACGATGATTTGACATGACAGGTTGATCCTAATTGCATTCATTGTCATTTCACGATGTGGCGCCCGCCCGCCCGGCGAAGGATTCACCCTGGGAAGTCGGAAACAGTCCCTAGCAGTAGCAAGTTGTACCGGTACATGAAATTAGGGGTCAAGCTATTTACCGGACACCACATGGAACGGTACCACATTGATGTTACAAGCACTGCATGGCCAGTCCCGCACTACCTGCACTCGAAAAGCTTTTGGATATTTCATCCAGTCCCAATCCTGAACCTCAGAGTCCATCCAGCCACCTCATCCCACACTGTCCCGCCACATGGCACATAGATCACCTTGTTGTGTCGCACCAGAGCTTGGATACATACAGTACAACACTACACGACATGAGACAGCAGGGAGATGAACCACAAGTCAGGCAGGCAGTTGTGAGAAGCAGTGCATGGCGGTGGCATGGTGCCCATTGAGTCATGACATGCCATGCCCACCCCTGCGCCCAACTTGCACCCACACACGTCTGCCTGCTTGTCCCCGTCCGCCACACCACAGCGGTACCGCTATGTGTTGCCTGACGTCATGCTCCCTCCATGCATACAGCGGTGCTCCCTGGCCCTTGGCTCGTTGGATGTGCTTCACGCGTGTGCTAGCAGTGGGTTGCATGCGCGTGCTGTGGGCTATGCTGACGGGCACCATTGATGCTGTCACCCTGTGCCTGCTGCTGCCAGTGCAGCCATTCTCGTGAGCACACGCGGTGGCATCTGCATGCCAACGATGCGGCCAACCAGGGAGAGCCAGCTCAGCATGTAGAGCTCGAGCGCCAGAGAGTGGTGGTGTGATGCTGCAGTGGTGGTGGCGACAGGTGCACCGACCGCTGCTGGCCTTGCGCTCGCCTCACTGGTAGCCCCATCTGCACCACTTGCTGCAGCGGCCGCACCACCAGCAGCACCACCCCTAGCAGCAGCAGTGGCAGTAGCACAAGCAGCACTGCCTGCAGCAGCATGAGCATGAGGCGCAGCAGCAGCGTGCAGCAGCAGCGCCATGGCAGCGGGAGTGTTGCAGGGGTGAAGGGCCACACAGGGCCGGCCCAGGAAGGGATGCTCCTGGCAGTACGGAGAGGGTGGCACGGGGAGGGTGGCACGGGGAGGGTGGCACGGGGAGGGTGGCACGGGGAGGGTGGCATGGGGAGGGTGGCATGGGGAGGGTGGCATGGGGAGGGCGGCATGGGGAGGGTGGCATGGGGAGGGTGGCATGGGGAGGGTGGCATGGGGAGGGTGGCACGGGGAGGGTGGCATGGGGAGGGTGACATGGGGAGGGTGGCATGGGGAGGGTGGCATGGGGAGGGTGGCATGGGGAGGGTGGCATGGGGAGGGTGGCATGGGGAGGGTGGCATGGGGAGGGTGGCATGGGGAGGGTGGCATGGGGAGGGCGGCATGGGGAGGGTGGCATGGGGAGGGTGGCATGGGGAGGGTGGCACGGGGAGGGTGGCATGGGGAGGGTGGCATGGGGAGGGTGGCATGGGGAGGGTGGCATGGGGAGGGTGGCATGGGGAGGGCGGCATGGGGAGGGTGGCATGGGGAGGGTGGCATGGGGAGGGTGGCACGGGGAGGGTGGCATGGGGAGGGTGGCATGGGGAGGGTGGCATGGGGAGGGTGGCATGGGGAGGGTGGCATGGGGAGGGCGGCATGGGGAGGGTGGCATGGGGAGGGTGGCATGGGGAGGGTGGCACGGGGAGGGTGGCATGGGGAGGGTGGCATGGGGAGGGTGGCATGGGGAGGGTGGCATGGGGAGGGTGGCATGGGGAGGGTGGCACTGGGGAGGGTGGCATGGGGAGGGTGGCATGGGGAGGGTGGCATGGGGAGGGTGGCATGGGGAGGGTGGCATGGGGAGGGTGGCATGGGGAGGGTGGCACGGGGAGGGTATCATGGTGAGGGCAGTGCAGCACACAGTGCATTGGCAGCGAGCAATGCAGTGCATCCAACAATAGTGAGTGAATGAGTGAGGAGAGGCGATGGGAAGGCATGCATGTAGTGCAGCATAGCTTCAAGTGCGGGCCACAGCCAATGGTCCATGCATGGTGCTTGGGGCACGGGATGCCATGGCAGGTGTCGGTTGGTGGTGAGAGCATGAGCGATGGAGCTTGTGGGTGGGGGCGTACCAGGGGTGTGAGCAGGTGCCAGGTGTCCAGAGAGGGGTCATATGCGGTGGGCGGACGAGGGGCGGAGGGGAGGGGTGAGGGCAGCAAGGGGTGGTCGGGAAGGCGCGGCAGGAAGGCAAAGAGGTCCCGCCAGGGCAGGGGGCGGCCGTCTGTGCGGGGAGGGGGGAGGGGGTGGTGCCATGGAGGGTTGGGGGGGTGGGAAGGGATAAGTGTGGTGATGGATGGTGGATAGGGAGACGAAAGGAAAAGTGGGCAGCAGAGGAGCACGTGGAGGGAGGGTGGGCACAGTTTCAAATGTGAGAGGCGCCCTGTTGCTTGCACGTGTTGGGCCCATGGTGGAAAGGTGCATGAGAGCGGAGTACGGCCGTGACATGGCCAGCACACATGGGCGGCATGGCATGGCATGGTTGACATACCAGGGCGGCATGGCAGGAGCAGCAGTTGGGGCACCGAGTAAGCAGCATCAAACACCACGTGGCAATGCACCAGAGCCACCGCGTCACTCGCTGCCACGTCACTGGCTGCCACGTCACTTGCTGCCACGTCACATGGTTGCTGCACACTCTTCGTCCCACCTGCTCCATCGCCACACATCGCCTGCCCACCTGTCCACCCACCAGGAGTCTCTCCGCTTGCCCCCTCTGCGTGTTGCAGGAGTGTCTGTGGTGCTGCTGCTGCCACTGCACCTACTGCTGCCAGCACTGACGTGTGGTGGGGATGCGCGCAGCAGTGCAGAGTGGCAGGGTCGTGCGCCTCCTCGCCACTCAGGTCAATCGAGTCAACGGGGTCAATCGAGTCAACGGGGTCAATCGAGTCAACGGGGTCAATCGAGTCAACGGGGGCAACGGGGTCAACGGGATCCACTGGGTCAAGTGGGCAACAGCCGGGGTGGTGCTGGCTGTGCGCGCGGTGCAGCAGCAGCGGGTGGCGGGTGGTGAGATAGCCGCCTGGGCCAGGGCAGTGGGAGGGATGGCGGGTGCAGGGACAAGGGAGGAGGCGTGCAGTTATCATGGCAATGCCAGATGAGGCCGCATGGAGGGAGGGCGAGGGAGTGGATATTAGATCGGACGAGAGTGTGAAGTTATTTGGGAGTGGGGAAGGGACGGAGGGAAGAGAGGGGCGAGTGGATGCGACGGAGAGGGGAGAGGCAACTGGAAAGAGGGCCGGAGTGGGCAGGAAGGGGCTGAGAGGGGCGTGGACAACGAGCAGGGTGGTGCAGGGAGGTGCGCGAGACAGGGAGTGGGGGAGGAGGAGGAGGGTAGCAGGAGCGAGGGGAGAAGAGAGCACACACCTGTGCATCTCGTGTAGGAGAGGTTATTTTTGAGACGTCTCAAAAATGACCTCTACACGCGGCCCCCGTGCCACGTAGCGCCACCTATTCGCCCACTCACCCCCCACTGCCAGCGACGACGCCCGCGCCGTAACCCACTGCCACTTCACGCCCTACGCGCGCCTCTCGCAGCGAGCGTCCTCCACTCCCTGCCGTTCACCCGCCACGTCTGCCGCCGCATTCCGCGCTGCCGCGGAACCACCCCCCTCACTTTGGGCCGCCGCCCACGCTGCTACTGCGCTTCCCGCTCGTCCACTCCGCCGCGCGCCTGCCGCCGCGGGGGAGCTGCGAGGCGGCTCGCCAATCAACTGCGCGTCTTCCGCCGCGTTCCACGCTGCTGCGAGTCTGGCCGCGGCGAGCGGGAAATCCGCGGCGCTGATTCGCCCTGCGCGGAGCGCCGCGGCCATGCCCCTGACGAGTCGACGATCCACTAGTGTATGCGCGACGCAAGGTGACCTTAAGGCGAGTTAAAAAGTCACATACATGCGCGACGCGACTCGCCAAGACGAGGCCGCGTGCTCCTCCATAGTGACCACGAATCAGCGCGCTCATCTATGTGCGCCGGGCGAACCAGCGCGCTCTGCGTGACTTGGGCGGAAAAGGACGCGACCGCGGAGAGGTGGATCGCTCGTGGCTGCGCGTTGGCGTCGTCGCACATATCGTGCAGCGCGTGACGCGAGGATAAGGATGCGACGAGATGGCAATGTCGGGCATGGCAGCCTCGCACCCCGCACCTCGCACAATTTGATGTCCGAGTGAATCCGATCGGATTTGCACTGCGACCGCGCCGCGCCCAGCACTGGGACCAACGGGAGGGGGGGGGGTGGGTGGGAGGTAGCGATGACGTGGATAAAGGCGGCGGCGCCAGCAGCCTCAATACCACACACTCCCCCGACGCTGCACCAACGGGCGCGCCGCGAAAGCTTGAGCGGGGGCACGCTGGGGACCTGGCGTGACGAAAATTAGGGTTGTGCATTTTGCGGTCATAGTTGAGGGTCTCCTCCAGCGGATCAGGGAGTTGATCAGATCTTGTCCCCCGCACCGCCGCCTCGCACGCTCCTATCCCCTCTCCCCTCGCCGCACAGCCGCCGTGGGTGGGAGGCGTGGAGCGAAACGCGCGCGCGTCCGCTGTCAGCCCCACCAGCTCAACAAGCGTCCGTTGGGGCTAGCCGTACAGGGATTCCGCGTACCACACTCCACTGGTAGATAGAAATTCCTGCCCGCGCCACACCGAGGCGCATCGGCGTATCGTAGCCGTTGCGCGTTCGTTCCGTGACTGCCCCACCTCGCGCGCAGCCGCTGCAACGCACGGCGCACAGCGCTGGTGGCGGAGTGGGAGGCGCGGACGACCGGAAGGGCGGATGCGAGGGAGCGAAGGCGGATGGGGGATCCGTTTGGCGGAGGCGGGCACAGGAGTGGGGATGAGCGGAACGAGCGGGGGGGAAGGGACGGAGGGCAGGGGAGTGGTACAACAGGGACGATCGGGAGGAGCGACGGGGAGGGCGGGGGGGAGAGGAGCGTGGAGGAGGTGCGGGTCGCCGTGGAGACGCTGTGGCGCCACTCGCAGCTCCTCTCCGCCATATGCGCCCCTCATTCCGCGCCCATACCTCGCACGGCCCGCCCCGCTCCCCCTTGCCCACTCCCCACTCCCCTCACCGGAACCTCTGTGCAATCACCCCCTCCTCTCACGAACCACACACTCACTGTCACAATATCATTCCCACTCATGCACCTATCACTCACCCTTTCACTCCCATTGCTGTGATGTTCTTGTCTCATGTGCCTCCTGGTCCCATCCGCCCTCCTCGCCCCACCCCCCTCCACACCAGCCTCCACGAGCGTGAGCGCTTACCGGCAGCAGCGCCACAGGGGGCAGCGTGGGGTCAACCGCGAGGCAGTGTTGCTGCAGCAGCACCATCAGAACCACTCCCCACCGCCGAGCCGGCACCCAAACCCACAGCAGCTGCAGCAGCGGCAGAAACAATGGCGGCGGCAGCAGCAGCAAGGGCAGAAGCGGAGGCGGTGTGGGCAAGAGCAGGCGAGCAGGTGGGCGGCGGCGAGGTGCAGCGCCTCATGGCGCCCCTCTCCCGCCTCATGGTGCCCCTCTCCCGCCTCATGGCGCCCCTCTCCCGCCTGCTGCTCGCCCTGCAGGGGGGGGGGAGAGGGGGAACGGGGGGGGCTGGGGGGGCTGAGGTTATGCGAGGGGACGATGAGGTGGGGGAGGAGGGTTGGGACGGAAGAGAGGGAGAACAAGACGGAGAGCGGAGGAGAGGAGGAGGTGAGGAGGGTGGGGAGGAGGGGGAAGGGGAGCGAGCAGTGGGGTGGGTGGAGCGAGTGGAGGCGCTGCGAGTGGTGAGGGCGCGGGGCAGAGCGGTGAGGAAGAAGCGATGGCGGGCGACGAGGCGAGCACAGCAGACAGTGGCATGGCAGCAGGTGAGGCACCGACAGAGGCAAGAACACGAATGAGCTTCGTTTCTTCCCCCCATCCCCGCCTCCCCACTCACTCCTGTCCTTCCCTACCCACGCCCTACCCCCGTTTCTTCCACCACCCTCTGCCTGCCCCTCTCTCTCTCTCTCTGACCAGTGGGCCCTGTGCATGGGTGGGTCGTGCTTCTCCCCCCGCTCCCCACTTTCTTCTCTGCTGCCTTTCCCACTTATTTCTTCCCTACTAGCCGACCCGTCCCCCACGATCCCCCTCTCATCCAACACCCCCCTCCCCACCTTTCCTCTCCACACCCCCCTTTCTCACGGGTGGCCGCTATGTGGGCGTGCGGGGTGCCGTGGGTGGGTGGGGCAGAGGGAGGAGCAGCGGCAGGTGGTGGAGGCGAGGATAGACGCGTGGAGGGCGCGGGTGATGGAGAGAGATGCACAGGCGAGCATGGTGAGTGGCGCATGGTGAGTGCTAAACCGTGTGTGTGAACGCGCAGGCATGGGGCGACAATTGTTTGTGCCTGAGTGATCCGCGCTTGCTCTTGAGGCCTTCTTCTCAACCACTGCTGCTCTTGAGGCCTTCTTCTCAACCACTGCTGCTCTTGCCTCTGCTGCTTGAGGAATCAGCTTTGCGCTCCCCACCACCCACTAAATTCAAGCCCCTCAGTTGCTCACCCTGTCGCTTTTTCTGCCATCGTCCCTCCATCCCGCTGTCCCACTCCTGCCCTGCCCTGGTAGGCACGCCAGCAGCAGACGGAGGAAGAGGCCAGGGAGAAGAGGGAGCGAGGCCAGGGAGAAGAGGGAGCGAGCCCAGCTGCAGAAGCAGGTGCAGTGCGGTGAAAGCAGAATCGGTGCGGTGGAACTGCGAATGGTGTATGCAAGGGATGAAGATGGTGTGTGGTGCATGGAGATGGATGGGTGGGTGTGTGTCTGTGTCAGTAGCAGGGCACGTGGGTGATGCCCGTAGGTGACTGGGCATAAATGCAGGTGTGTTGTGCACTTGCGGGCGTGGGACATGGGTAGCATGTGATGCTCATCATCACCTGCCACTTGTAGGCGTGGGACAACTGTGCTGAATTATGCCCAAGTGCACTGCCTCTGAATTATGTAGAGGGGGGGGGGGGGGGGGGGGGGGGGGGGGGGGGGAGGGAGGAAGCAAGTGCAGGGGCCTGGGCGTACGGCTCTGCTACTTTCACCTGGGCATATATTGGCTGCTCTCCTTCCGTCCTCCTTCCTCCCCCTCCCTCGCCACTCTCCCCCTTCCCTCCCCTCTCACTTCCCCGTCTCTCCCTCCCCCTTCCCTCCCCCATTTAATTCCCCCTCTCTCTCCCCCTTCCCCTCCCCCTTACTCCTTCCTCTCTCTCTCCCCCTTCCCCTCCCCCTTACTTCCCCCTCTCTCTCTCCCCCTTCCCCCCCCCTTACTGCCCCCCCCCTCCCTCCTTCTTCCCTCCCCCATTACCCCCGTGCACCGGGCGCACGGCCCCCAGGTGGATGCACTGATGCTGGTGGCGCGCCTGAGGGAGCTGCGGCGCCTGCGAGGGCTGCGCGCTCGCAAACGCGGTGAGTGATGGGACGAGGGGAGGAGGGGGGGAGGGGGAGATAGGTGTGCAAGGATGAAGACTAGGTGAGCAGGGCAGGGAAAGGGGGAAGAGAGGGGGGACGATAGGCTTTTCACATGCAGAGTCTATGCAGAAAGGTTTCTTTATGCTTGGAAGAATGAGGTTTAGCTTTTTCAAAGCTTGTCGAAGCTTCGTTCGAGCTTGCAGTGAAGCGAAAGATTGGGTGAAAGAACAGGTAAGAATCAGGTAATGGATCAGGCGAAGGATCAGGCCCTGTTACGAACGAAGACAACCTCGGGGGCTCGAGACGTGGCTTCCAGGTTTTCCCAAACGCTGCCTGTTTTTCCGGCTGATCTGGGGGAAGTGTGTCTTCAGAAGTAGAGATTTCTTTTGAATAGCTTTTCCCTCAGTTCTATCTCATCGGCACGTACAAACGCATGCGACATGTTTGTCTTTGTGTGCGACATGTTTGTCTTTGTGTGCGACATGTTTGTCTTTGTGTGCGAACCACGGTTTAGTGAAGGTCTCCTTTTTACAGAACGTGCCATTAAGGTCTCCTGAATCAGCAGGCGTTTCTTCTCGGTTCCTTCCCACGTTGCAGAACGTTCCAATAAGCTGCACTTATTCATGACTGGTTGCCCTTGGCCTTGGCCAGTCCTCCCCGAGCCTTGCAACCCGGTCCAAGGCTGCTGCTGCTTTCCGGCACACACAGAGAGACTCCGCCCCTCTCTTGCCCATTCTTTTCTCTCCCCCCTCGCCCTTCCCCGGTGTTCTCATGCCCTGCCGTGTGGTGGGTGGGAGCACCCTGGCAGGGCGGGTGGTGGAGGGCGACGAGGATGCGTTCATGCGTGCTGTGAGAGAGGCCGTGCGGGAGGAGGACTCACGGGGGGTTGTGCACGAACTCAAGGAGGGGAGGGGAGGGGCGGAGGGGCACGAGAAAGGGAGGGGAGATGGGGAGGAGGCCGAGGGAGGGGAGAGGGGGTGTGGAGGAGGAAGCAAAGCTGAGAGCATGCGTGTGGGAACAGCGGGCAGCGGAAGCGAGAACGGCCGTTGGTGGGAGCGGAGGGGATGGTGGAGATGGGGGAGATGGGGGAGATGGGGGAGATGGGGGAGATGGGGGAGATGGGGGAGATGGGGGAGATGGGGGAGATGGGAGAGATGGGGGAGATGGGGGAGATGGAGGAGATGGTGGAGATGGGGGAGATGGTAGAGATGGTGGAGATGGGGGAGATGGTGGGGATGGGGGAGTTGGTGGGGGCATGGAGGAGGCATAAGGGTGTAAACGAATAGGGCGGTATTCGTTTTACTATTCGGTATTCGCCGAATACCGAATCCGGTTCGAATTCGAATCGGCCATGGTATTCGCCAGTATTCGAGGAACAGAAATTCGACGAATACGGTTATTCGGATGGCAAAACCGGATTCGTATTCGGGTATTCGTATTCTGTATTAGGCTTGTACATGTGGAAAAATCTATGCTCTCCTTCCATCTGCGTCAGATCTCTGGGACAACGGCCTATGCAGCGCGTACTACGGGACATACCTAACTATCGACTATACGAGACATTTTGAATGTGCCGAGTCATTACGATATTCAGCTTCAGCAGGACAGGAATTGGGTTGAGGTGCTGGTTGGTTGTGCACGTCGGGGTTGTGTTGGGTTGGGTTGGGTTGGGTCGATTATTACACATTTTGTCGTGACTGGGTGGCAGGGGTGAGGGATGCCTGTTTCTGTTTGTTGTTGACGTGGTTTCTCATGTTCGTGAACACAGACTTTATGCGCTGGAAATGGTCAGGTTGAGTCAGCATCTACAGTGCCGAACTGCAGAGAAGCACCTCACCTCAATTTTCGGGACGAATGTTACGTGCGTGAGAATCATTGGTGTGTCAACCAGCTTAGGTGCCCTCACAAACTTGAATCGAAATGCTCAGACGACATTGGCACGTCAGGAGTCGGATTCGCCACACATTCGATAACAAAGTTTCGCCTACAGGCACGTTTTCAAACAGTACGACAAGAAAGTACACGATGCTTTTTGCTGAGGCACATGTCAGCGTGATTTGGCAACTCACCAATACGAATCTGAAGCACTTCCTACCAGACGTGTGAATTTGCACGCGAATTCACACCTGACAGGCAGCGGGACGTCGACTGACGCAACGTCACACATACGTGTCTCCACGTCAATCTTCAGAAGTCAGGAGAACTTCTTGCACGAAGTTCTCACAGCCAGCCAATGACATTCTCGTAAACATCTATCTTGACTCACATACAGGCGGTCCGAGAACGTGTACAAAAACAAATATATCCCGCCTTTTTTACACAAACACGAATTTTGAGGCTTAAGTGTCGAGCAAAACAGTAGAAGATGCGTGCACCCTCCATGTAGAACGTGAGGGGAAAAAGCGCGCGTAAACTGTAATATTTGGGTAGCGGGTAAACTGTAATCGGATGGAACCACACACACAAAGCCACTCACTCACATTTCCAACCAAATTTCACTCGACAGTCAATCTCCATTCTCCACTCCAGAGAGCTCCAGAGAGCTTGAACTTCAATTCAGAGAGCAAGTTCATGACAGACTAAGTAGATTTTTAGCTTTCCTCATCCGTATAGCGCCTCCATACCGTCGTTCGTATTAATTTATCGATTCTGAATTCGTTCTTGACGCCACTACGCTGAAGTTTGCTACAATTTTCATTCCTCATGGCATCATTTACTCCAACAAAGTCCTCCAAGGCATGTGACGATGGGACAAGTGGTGGTGCTCCAGAAACTTCAAACAATCCTCTTAAGCGTGGACCCGATGTTGACACTGTGGCTGACGAGGAGCATGCGAAAAGAAACAAGAAGTTGACATCGTCGGTGTGGTTGTTCTATGAAAAAAATGATAAGCTTGAGAGTGCAAGATGTCTTCTTTGCGAAAAAAAGAATGTTAAAACAGTGATTTCGAGGAAAGGAGGGAGTACAAGTGCCATGGGGAACCACCTTGCGTTTTGTCATCCTAAGGAGTATGAGCAAGCGGGGTTGGATAAAAAAAAGGGAAGCCGAGGGGGGAAGGAGGACATTGCAAGGGCCATGCTAAAGCTCACGCCCTACTCCGATGCCGAAAATAGGAGCCGTCTTGTGCGCATTGTTGCGAAAGGGAGCATATCTTTTCGTGGACTTGAGTGTCCGGAGTTGAAAGATTGGGTGAAATGGCTTCAACCCGAAGTGAACATGCCCTCCCGTGTCACCATCGCAAAAGAGTTGCATCTTGCATACGATTCATACATGGAAAAAATCAAAAAGAGATTGCAAGGGCTGAAATGCAAGATATCTTTCACGTGTGACATTTGGACGGCCCCCAACATGAGTGCTTTCATGGCAATAACCGCTCATTGGCTCGATGAAAACTTCGAGTCACAACGAATTTTGCTTGACTTCATTCACATGGAAGGATCTCATACGGGTGAAGCGATAAAAAACGCTTTCGTCCACTCTGTCCATGTTCGTTGGGGCCTTGGAGACAAAGTGATGGCCATCACACTTGATAATGCAAGCAACAACGACGCATTCCTCCGTCTCCTTGATGAAGAGACCGCATTCTCAAAGGAGAGGCACATGTTTTGCTTTGCGCACGTGATCAATCTAGTTGTCGAGGCCATCATGAAAGCGCCTTCCTCCATAGGCGCAATTGAGAAGATTCGAGGGTTTGCCACACACATTGGAGGCTCCTCCCTTCGATCCGACCGGTTTGCGGAAAAATGCAAGGATGCCAAAGTTGGGAATGTGACATCCATTGCGGTGGACACTCCCACAAGATGGTCAAGCGCCCATGCAATGATAAAAAAGGCCAAGGTTTTGCAAAAACCCATTAATTCATTCCTTGTTGATGAAGGGGAGAGTGTGGAAAAGTTTTACCGTATGACGGAAGATGAGTGGAAGTCACTTGAGACGCTTGAGAACATTCTTGAGCCATTCGCCAAAGTCACCACGATTTTGGAAGCGTCCGAGTATGCAACCGTATCCTTGGTCATACCGTTGTTGAACATGCTTATGGACAAGATGGAAGCGGTGATCAACGAGAATAGGTTTTTCGCCAAGGCATGCAAGCGAGGCTTTGAGAAGTTAAAGAAGTACTACGATCGCTCCACCGAGGAATACACCGTGGCAACCGTGCTAGACCCGCGTTTCAACCTTGACTACTATGTCGCGGGTGCATCAAAAGGAGGCGGGCATGTAAGTGTGGGGATTGTGGAGGAGTGCATAAAAAGGCGCTATGTTGAGTATGAGAAGGAGGAGGCCGGCCTTGAACACGTGGGAGAGAGCTCGGGGACAAAAACTCACAATAATGAAGTTGCTCGAGTGTCATCCTCTTTCTTGGGGGGAATCTTTAGTGTGCAAGACGATGATGAGCCCACGGATCCCTTGGAGAAGCTCACCAAGTACATTCGTGAGCCGAGGATTAAGGTTCGCGGATTTAGCTCCTAATTCAAGGAATGGTGGTGCGTTAAGGCAATTGATTATCCGATTGTTGCGCGTATGGCTCGAGACTACTTGGCCATACCGGGAACATCCGCGGATTCGGAGAGGGTGTTTTCATTGGCAATGCACATGATGACGGACTTTCGGCATAGCATGAGTCCGGATACGGTGCGGGCGTGCATGTGCTTAAGGTCATGGCAAGATTTTGTCGGTTATGAAGCTTAATAGAGTAGTTAGGGTAGGAGTTCGAATTGCATGCTTAGCTAGGTAGAGGTTAGGTAGGAGTTTTGGAGGTGCATCAATCTTGTTGAGTTTGTCTACTTCTTTTAGTAAACAATAAAGGCCTTTGGTTGAAACTTGTTTGGAGATTTAAAAAACAAATCTGAACTGTCCTATTGATATTGCCTTGTTTCCCACTGCTCTGGATTATGACCAGAAAGTTTGAGTGTGAATGCCTTCAATATTCTCATCAGAGTAAGGTGTTAGTGTCTAACGTTAATGAATCAGACTTTATGTGGCATCAATGTTTGGTGTAGCAATCATCTTTAACCAAACATTTTATCACTGCTACAAATGAACCTGTCAAGAAATGAACCCGCGTGCCTATGACCTAAAGCACCACTCAACCAACTGGGCATCTACCTCCAAATGAATTGCCCCAACAGAATTAATTGTTCATGAACTGAACCTATAGAGCTGGACTGCTATAGTGAATCTCCACAACCATAATATTAATTTGAAAGCATACTTGGCTCTTAAACATTCCTCAAAACAACGAGCTTAGCAGCATTCCTCAAAGCTTTGTGAAGGATCATCTAAAACCTTACAACCTAACACCCTACAGAGACATAGTGTCTTGGGGAATTGAGATTATACTGGACTGGACCCCAAAACTGATAACTAAAAGCCGAAAACTGTCGAATAAAGTCCAACCACAATGCACAAACCCAAATTCTTTTAACGCCAAACCGTATCCGAAATCGTATTCGACAAATATCAGCGTATTCGAACCGTATTCGTATTCGTATAAGACCAGGTATTCGAACAAATACAAATCTAGCCAAGTATTCGGCTACTATTCGTTTATAGTAATCGTATTCGTACCCGTATTTGTATTTACACCCTTAAGGAGGCAGGGCAGGGCCAGGGGCAGGCAGGCATGCGTGGCAGCAGGGAGGGGGGAGCACACCACCTGTCCCTGCATGGCCTCGCAGCAGTGCGGCGCCGGTGGGATGCCTTCCTGCTGCCCCTGCCTTGCTCTGCCCCAACCCCTCACCCCCAAGTACCTTATCACCCTCTACGCGCTCTCGTCTCTCACACCCATCAGCTCCTCCCGCCGACCTCCTCCTTCATGCTTGAAGGTCCGCCTGCTGCTCCTGCCGCTGCTGCCGCTGCTGCTGCTGCTGCTGCTGCGGCTGCTGCTGCTGCTACTGCTGCGTCGCTGTCCCCAGGTGTGCTTGCCCCAGGCTCGTCAGTGCCTCCTTGCTGGCTGCCTGGCCCCCCACCTGCCACCTCCGAATGGCGGCGCTATCTTCTCGGGAATTACTGAGCCTTTTACTCTTGCCTTTCTTTCTGATTTTGGTAT